AAAAATACATCTGGGATGTGTAATGATCTGAATGTGAAACTTAGTGCGTTTTTTCCTTTCTGTATCTTCACAGGGCAAAAAAAATCATGCATTATTTCAAGGTTGTTAGCCTGCTGTAAATACAGCAAACAACTCGGGTTCTGTTTATAAGCCTGGTAGAAATAGAGTTATATGCCACTTTGTAGACACCACAGAAGTTCAGCAGAGTATCACTAAGTGTGGAAAAGAGGTCGAGACTCAGTTTAAGTAGGGTTAAGTACCTTCTGTGGGTAAATAACTTCCTACCCTATAAGGAGGCCAGAAATTGTAGTACTTGCTTCCTTTTGAAAGCTCTGGTCTTGTGTTCAGTCATCTCTCTGAAGTATAGCCTTAAGTTGCTTTGGCCTTGATTTTGTTTTATCTTTTCAAGTCTTTATTTTGTGGTGTGGTTTGTGTCTTCTTTGATAGGACACCCACAAGCCAAATGTGTATGTCTTTCTGTAGAACCTCTGGACTGTACAATCAAGTGAAGAAACAGGGATGTGAAATTGGCTGGGGAGGAGGTTTCCATTGAGAACAGGGATTTTTCTTTGGCTTTCAAAGTAATGTGGATCACAGGAGTTGGGAGTATATGTCTATAGGTAAAGCTGTAGTACACAGAGGACAGGAGAAATAAGAAAGCAACTGAGAGAAAGCAGGAGAAGAGCTAGAGTATAACAGGCAGCAAAGGACAAGTGAGTGTTTTTTCCATTTGAATTTTTATCCCTTTGTTCTTTTATTTTGACTTTCATGCTCTTCTTGTTTACCAATTGTCACAAAATTTATAGTATTAGAAGCAAATTAAAAAACCCCACAAACCCTTTCAGTATATTGTACATCAGATTAGCCTAGAGCCCCAGGAACTGTCCTGAGTCACTAATACTGAACTTGCATTGATTCATTCCTTTGGTTCCCTTTTTTTTTTTAACAGAAAAACTTCTGTGTAGAACACAGAAGAGAAAGAAACTCCCAAATTTTTAATTTCACTTAGGTAATTAGTAGTATAGCTGAGTATTAAAGAATTTGTGGAAGAGAGTTAATGGTGACTGATTCTTACTGACTGATTCTTTCCCTTCTTAGGGGGGAAAAAATACAGGAGGAAGCATAATCTGGTGTTTGCTGTGCTGTAGAGTTGGGGTGAAACAGGTATATATATATATATATACACACGTATGTACGTATGTATGTATATTTATTTGGATCCAGTGGTTTATGCTTTGGAAGAACAAGCTTTACAGCAAAGTCAACTGAGAAGGATTTAAAGTATAGACTTTACTACAGGTAGAGCTGCTTGTGCCACCTATACCTAAGGTCATGTGACTCCATTTGAAGGCTTAACTCTTAATTACTTTATAACTTTTGCCAAAGTTCAGTTCAGACAGATTTTTCCATGCCAGCTATATGCTTTGGGTTGAATTTTTTGCAAGTTTCAGCCAAAGCTGTTCTGTTCCAAGAATAAGGCTAGTGAAAATTATGCTGTTTTGCTTGTGTGAGAATATTCTGGTGTCCTCCTTTGATGCTCCAGTGCCCCCAAGCTCTGAAGCAAGGGTTTGAAATTTGGCAAGAGTTCAGCCTTTGTGCTGAGGATGTGCCTTTTGCCTCCCTGTAAAAATCCACCCAAATTTCCAGACCGGTTTACAAGGCTTTGATAGATTGCCATTTGCATGGGCTTAATAGGAATTTCTTAAAACTTCACAGTAAGCTTCCTTTAGATTTTCTTCACACTGGGAATGCTCCAGGCAGAGTAGAGCTGTGTATTTCATCCCAGTTCTGCTGGGGATTGTAACGTCTGGCTCTGGTGCTGACAGGGAGCTGAGAGTGGGCAGCACTGTGTCTTGTATCACCACGGCCTATTCCCATGTCCTGTTCCTTCTCCCTGGTGACAGACCTGGGCCCTCTGGAAAAAGAAACTGGCTCACTCGTCTGAAAGAGCATGACAAATGTGGAGGAGAACAATTAAAGAGCGTGTGTGTGTCTGGTTTATCCCATTCTTTTGGTCACAGAAAACGTGTGTATCATACTGGTGAAATATTACTTCCTTTTCTACTGGATGTTCAGATAACAGGAGTTACGTTTTGTTGCACTTAAACTTCAGCAGCTGAGTGGGGCTCAAGGTTTTAATGAACTTTGTAAGCATCAATTTAAAAAAGAAGTTGGACTCTAATGTGCAGTGATGTTATTTAGAGGGCAGAAATCAAGAGCTCACTTGTTGCAAATATGTAAGTCTTAACTCTGACCTCTTGCATTTAGTACACTGTCTACACTTACAACTTACAAGTGTCTCATGCTTTGTCCAAGAGGCAACTAGTTGATTGGAGTGGGGGAAGATTAATCTGAGGATGAGCCCAGGATTTGTACAGTAAAAGGTGTTTATTCATCTGTTGCAGAGGTTGAAAACTGTGGAGTAAGTGAAGCTGAGATTTTGGGAACTACAAAAAAAAAAAGGCTTTGTGATGAAGACAACTGAATGCTGCTTGATGGATTGTGTGCAGTCTGTGCTTAGTCATGGTGTTTCCACATGATGCACTCAAATGTTCCTAGGTTCCTAGGCTACTCATGCTGTGTTCTGGTGGCTGCTTTGAGAGCTTGTGTTAGTCTGCAGAAATGCAGACACTTAGAACTGCAAGTGAACTCACTGGGAGCTCAACTTCATGTGGAATCCTGTATTTTACTAGGGACAGTAAAAGTCAGCTCAAAGTATGTGAGATTTTTACTGTATAACTGATCTATTTCATACTGATCCAAGCATAAAAATCCCAATATCATAGCTCTGGAACTCAAATCTTCCACTTTGAATTAGCAGACAAAATTTGAAAACTCTTGAGAATAGTATTACAATGCAAGTTTAATTAGCAATAACCTTTTAATTCTCTTCTAAATCACAGCCACTTTATCTCAGCACTAGTTGAATAAAATACTAGTAGGAACCTTGTCCTTTCTGTTCACTGTGGGGATGGAAAGCAAACTTGCTCAAGCTGTTTGCTACTACCTCACCCTTTGTAAAGCTGCTTCAACAGTGCATCATTTTCTGTATCACTTTGTAAAGTCAGTCATTACCTGGAGTTTCCTCTGCAAACAAAAAGATTTTGTAGGTTCTTTGGAAGGGACAAGGTTACAGCAAATAAGTGACTGTGTTTGTGGAAGTGTTTAGCTCCCAGAGTGAAAGGATTGCTAAGGTTTAATGAATTTAATGCTTTGGAAATTATTTGTTGGAGAGTTTACAGCACTGGAGAGTTTTGGGTTGTGGGTTTCTTAGGGTTTTTTTCTTTCTATTTTTAAGGTGGAGGTGTGAGAGATGTTTTTGTTTGTTTCTTTAAGCTTAAAGTAGTCACCAAATATTTTTACTTGATTCTTGGGTCATTCTCTCAGTGTATTTGCTGCCTCTGAACCAGTAGGTCTCAGTTGGGTCTTTTGAAAGCTTCAGCAAAAACAAGGCATTTGACTGGGTGTGTGTCATGCAGTGTTTTCAGGAGAAAGATGGGAATTCTGAGCTGCTCAAAGCACATACATCTTCCTTGGAGAAACTCAGCAGCTAAGACCAGCAGTGTTACTTGCTTAGCTGTGTGAAATCCACTTGCTTGTAGACAATTGCTTTGTGTTTTGTTTTGATTTTCCCCCCAAGACTTCCACTTCCTTGTGTTCTCTTCCATATGTGTTTTGCTTTGTAGTTGGGCAACTAGCTTGGAATAAAAGCTGTTACCAAGCTTCTGCATAGCATCTAACTTGATTTCAGCAATCCAATGTGTCAGTGATGTGGTTTAGAGTTAACACAATGCAATTCTTTGCTTATTTTGACATTGGTTTGTGTAGGATTAAAAGTTCCAAAAAGAAAGAATAATCATAGAATCAATTGGGTTAGAAAAGACCTCCAAGATCATCGAGTCCAACCCTATCGTGGTTACTAGACCATGGCACTAAGTGCCACATCCATTCTCAGCTTGAAAACCTCCAGGGATGGTGAATCCACCACCTCCCTGGGCAGCACATTCCAATGCCTGATCAATCGCTATGGAAAAAAATCTCTTCCTAATCTCCAACCTAACCCTCCCCTGGCAGAGCTTGAGTCTGTGCCCTCTTGTCCTGCTGCTGGTTGCCTGGGAGAAGAGACCAACCCCCACCTGACTCCAACCTCCTGTCAGGGAGTTGCAGAGGGTGAGAAGGTCTCCCCTGAGCCTCCTCTTCTCCAGGCTGAACACCCCCAGCTCCCTCAGCCTCTCCTCATGGCACTTGTGCTCCAGTCCCTTCCCCAGCCTCGTTGCTCTTCTCTGGACCTGCTCCAGCACCTCAATGTCCCTCCTGAGCTGAGGGGCCCAGAACTGAGCACAGGATTCAAGTGATCATATCACAGTGGGTATGATGTATAAAATCCAAGTCAAAATGTGATTAGATTGTGACTAAATGTCTGTGCAGCAATTATTAATTAGCCAGGCATCTGTCTTAGCACATGGGTGAGATGAAGTTTGTCACCTTACTTTTCCTCCTCCCCAGTCCCCCTAGTAATCCAAGGTATTTCTGAAAGCCCAGACTCTGTGTGCATTTAGTTTCCTGCATAAGTCATTCTGGTATGTTTTAGTTTGGAGTTCCTACATAAATCAGTGTCACTTCAAGATGCCTCTTTCCTGTCATCTTCAAGCATTGTGCCTCAGTTACAGGGACCAAATAGTGCTTTGAGTTTACTGAATTGATACTGACACCTGTATTGTTGTACATTGCTTTTTGTTCGAAGGCTGAGGCAAAAAGTGAAGGAGAGATTCTGCAAACACAACTGAATTAACTTGTATGGTCCAAGTACATGAGCAGTAAATTAGCTCCAAGTATCCAACTGTGCTATTTCAAATTAGTTTGCAAAAGTAACTAAAATCTGATTTAAAAGACTCTGCTTTATTAAATGAGTTTAAGATGTGATCATGTATTGTAAATTTATCTGTTTAAAAGTGTTACCTGTTTCTGAATGTTTTGCTTCTCTGTCTTGTTTTTGGCAGCAACTGGAATTAGTCGAACCAAGTGGATGGATCCATGTTCCTCTAACAGATACTCACAAAAAGCCTATTCGCACGTTTATGATCCAGATTGCTGTCCTGGCCAATCACCAGAATGGAAGGGACACTCACATGAGGCAAATCAAAGTGTACACCCCGGTGGAAGAGAGCTCAATTGGTAAATTCCCTAGATGTACCACAATTGATTTCATGATGTATCGCTCCATAAGATGAAATTTCTTCATGGTAAATAAAAAAGGCATTTTTGTATGGCACTATCATTGCTCAGGTATTTCCATACTTAAAGAGCAGGGTTTGCTTCAGTGTAATTATATCTTGATGTTTATACTTTGTACAGTTTTGAAATAAAGATAATTTTGTGTTGCAGTATATTGTAGTCTGTAATTTTGCATTACTTTTCCATGGGGTCTGAGAGCTCTCCTACTGTGTGAGAGGGGGAAAAACTCCAAGCACCTTAAAAAGAACATATTTGACTGGGAATCAATAACTGATTGGATATAATACTGTTGTTTTGGGGGTGATTTTTTTCTCCTAATGATCATGCATGCAAGTAGTTTGTTCTGTGGTGTTACTGTTGGTTCCTTTACCTGAAAGTTGCTCTTTTAAAGCACATTCTTCTCAAACAGATGTGGTTTAGAGACATTACCAGTGGTATTTCCCCATCATTGCTTATGCTGATGTGTTGTACCCTTTTCTGTATGGGGTTGTTTCTGCTTAATGGCTGTCTGCATGGATTTAGCCTTCCTTGTGACTGCAGAGTAGATCGTAGAATCACAGGATATCTCAAGTTGGAAGGAACCTGTGGGGATCATCGAGTCCAACTCCCTGCTGCTTGCAGGACTGCCTGAAACTGAACCATATCACTAAGAGTGTTATGCAGGTGCTCCTTGAACTGTGACAGGCTTGATGCCACCACCACTTCCCTGCGAGCCTGTTCCAGTGACTGGTAATGCAGTGAAGATGACAATGACCTGAAGAAAACCAAACCTTTCTAAGTTACTCAATATAGTGTATACATCAATAGAGATATGCAGAGTATCATCTAAACATGACAGCTCCTCAAAACAGGAAGAGAGTCAGGAATGCTCTGTCATCCTACGGTAGTGTAGGAATGAATCTGAAGGTCCAATGCACCTTCTGAAGTACTGAGAACTCAAGTGGATAGCACAAGGTAATCTCAGACTGGTTTTTTTTATGTGTTTTAAATTCGGTTTCAGATGTTTTAAAGTGGTTTTTTTCACATGCTTTGAAGAGCATTGCAAGGAAAATGTGTGCTTCGTCTACTCGTTGTGAGTAGGAGTATTTAACACCTCTATTAATGTCTCATAATCTAATTATTTCTATTTTAAAGAATTAAGTAGATTTTGGAAAGAGAAGTTGTTGGAGTACAAGAGTTTCTTCCAAGATATTCAGTACTGATCAAAACCAATTCTTCTTCCTAGCACCCTAAAAGTCAGTGGTCAATCCAGGCTGATCTCAGCCAAGGAAAGCTTTGGATGCTTCTTAATTGTGAGCAAGGAGAGGCTGCTAATAGTGGAGGCTCATCAAACAGTGATGCATCATCCTGCAGAGGAGAAAAGAGGTGAAATAGAGGAAAATGGCAAAATTGTCAAAGAAGGTTAAACTTGAAATTCATTTTACATATTTAAAGAAGCTTTTGTTTGCTGGAAAGTGTGTCTCTGGTTGGATTGCACAGTCTTTAGAGGGTCATTAAACAGGGTGTTTCCTGATAATGAACCTTGTAAAGAAGTGCATGACTAGTCTGAGTTTCCTGTTTAAATGTGGGCTCAGTCATTTCATGAGGACCTCAGTGATACCTCACCTTCCATGTAAAGGATGTATCAGCTGCAGAATTCCTGCTCAGCAGAAGCATTGGTCAGCAGCACTTTTCATTCAAAGGAACTCCAGTTTTCTTTTCTCTTACATGTCACTCTACAAGCAATATCTAAAGTATTATCTCTCTGTGGCAAACATTATCTAGTAAACTAGGAACAAGCCTGTCAGCACAATCTTGTTCTACTTATTTTTGCCCTGCCTTCAATAGGCACCATCATTTTTGGACCTTTAGAGAGCTAGTCTTGCTTTTATTGATTTTTTTTTTTTTTTTTTTTCAGGGCTCTGATGTTCATAGAGGGATTAGTGCCAGCATTTGTCTCCCAAATTTGGAACTGTTATTTCTGATAGTGCAGTTGAATAAGATGTGGCCTAGCTGGACTACTTACCCTGCTATTCTGAAATCACAGTGTTTCAAGTGCTTTTAAGGACCTATGATACCTATGTTAAACTGGACAATGTTAAGCTTTACTGTGGGGAGGGAATCTGTACTTAAAAATGAAATTTAAAGTGGTATTTTAGTAGAAGTTCAAGTGTACAAGACTCTGTAAAGGTTAAGGCTGTAGTTGCACTTTATTCTTCTATCAACAGCAGATCCTGTCTGAAGCTGCACATTCCCATGTTTTGTTTTTACTTTATTGCCAGAACTTACCATCTCCATGCTTGAACCTCTTCAGGTGTTTCCACTGCTGTTCACTAAACTGCACCTGTGAAACAGTTAGATCCTTGGTCAATCCTTGGCCCCTTTGAATAAGTATATTCTTAGTGCTGGGTGAAACAAGTGAACTGTGGTGATGCTGTGGGAGTGAGCAGTGAGTCATGGTGATGATGAGGGTGAGAGCAGATGAAAAGGGAGAGTACAACTACTGACTTCTTCACTGACAAAAATTACACAGGACTGTCTGAAAGACAGTACAGAAATGCAAACTCGCTGCTTCAGTTTGTGTCTTGCTCTTTCATATTCAGTGTTGCTGGAAAACAAGTGCAGGGGCTGTTTGAAATCCATATTAAATCTCTGTTGTTCTTTAACAATTGTAGATACATTGCATTGGTGTTTGTCATCTGTGCAAGTACGTTTTTGGCACTCAGTCACATAAGGCTGATTTTTAAGTGATGAGATCCTAGATGAGTGTGTCTGAAAATAAAGCGAGTTACTGCCTTTGTGTATTAATATAGTACTTGGTATTTGATTTGGGATAAACAAACTGCTCTGCCAAATCATTGCAGGAAGTTACTACACATATGTTATGTTTGGCTGCTACTTTTTTTTCCCTTGCTCATTATTTTCAGACACACAGTTGTCTGGAATGTTATCGCTTTCTCTTTTTCTCTTGTAAAATGTCTGATAAATATTGATTAGTGTAAGTAATATTGAAATAAATGGCAGACAAGATAGAAGATGCATTTGATCTAAGAAGTCATGATTAGGCAGTGATCTGAGTTATCACTTCAAATACTAGGAATTTAGGAGTTTAAAACTTTTTTTGGAAGACACTACACTAGGCCTTTCTGCATCACAGAACAGAAAGTCGATTTCTAGTCTAAGTGCAAAAATCTTTCCTTTCATTGAACTTTAGCTTATTGCTTTTGTAGGCACTCAGAGGAGGGAGGTAATTGAGAGACCAAGGTCTTGGGGAACTCCCACTGAAAGGAAGGAGAGTAGCTGTGTTTTGACTAAGTCATGTCTGTGTGTCTTGGTAGCACCACAGTGTAAACAAAAAAGGCAATGACAGGAGAGGGAGAAAAGAGGTGTTTGCTGCTCCTGGTTTCTAAAGTGGAGAACAGCAAAACATTTATGTTTTGTTTAAGCTCACATAGGGAATCTCTGGCAGAGCTGGAAGATGAATCCTTATCATCATTGTCTATCTCCTCACTCCCCATGCAGCTGATTTTAAAGATAATTTTTTCAGTAATGCAATTTCTGTATGTAATTCCATTTTAAAGTTTGGCTTTTGCTGTTCTAGTTTAGTCTGTAGGGGAGATACTTTTACCAACACTGCCTATAGATGCACAACTGAAACTCTTCAGCTGCTACAGTGGTGATTGCTCCTACCTTACTAGAAAGGCATAATGTACTTTTTAATGAAAAAGGGAAAAGCTGCCTTATATTTCATATAGGATACTTGCCACGAGATCAGTACTGGTTTGCAGTCTGGTTTGAAGAGCTGTGCATATGTCATTTTTCATAGAATCATAGAATTCTAGGGGGTGGAATGGACCTTAGAGATCATCTAGTCTTAACCCCCTGCCCTGGGCAGGGACACCTCCCACCAGAGCAGGTTACTCAAGGCTTCACCTAACCTGGGTGTGAACACTGCCAGAGTTGGGGCATCTACTCCCTCTCTGGGCAACCTGTGCCAGTGTCTCACCACCCTTACAGGAAGAAAGCTTTTTCCTAATATCTAACCTAAATTTCCCCTTTTTCAGTTTGTACCCATTGCCCCTTGTCCTGTCACTGCAGCTCCTAACACAGATCCCTCTCCAGCTTCCCTGGAGACCCTTCAGGTACTGATAGGTTATTATGAGATCTCCACACAACCTTCTCTTCGCCAGGCTGAACAGCCCAAACTTCCTCAGCCTGTGCTCATAGGGACATGTTCCATGATTTTTTTGGTCTAAATGTAGAATATTGTATTTTTATTGAGCTGCATTAGACTTCAGATGCCTCTTGCCCAGACCCTTAGTTACTTAGACATGAGTGATTTGCATAAAGCATCACTTTGTTGCCCAATTCTGTACTTGCCCTGGTCTTCATAACATGCATGCTGCTGGGCTTGGAGCTATAAATCAAGCACAAGTTATTGATAACCCAACATGAAGACTCTCAGACTAGGTGTTTACTGAACAGTTGGCATGTAGGTAGTTTTCTGGGAGTCAGAGACTTAATCTGACATGAACACAGTATGAAAGATGAAGAACTGAAGTCAGTCTTACTGTTAGTACTTGTTTTTCTTCATCTGTGTTAAAACTGCTTAAGGGAAATAATTGAAACATTATTTGGGCTTGAAATCTGTTTCTACACTAGAGAGAGAGCCAGATGTTCAGATTGCCAGTACTGATTGCCATGGGCTTGTGTGTAATAAATGAAGTGATGGAAGAGACTGAAGGACCATGGAGAGCTACCGGTTATTTGGAAGGCAAAACATTGCTTCACCTAACAGGGCAAACCACGTCTCTAGGCAGCAGGACACTGCTTGAGAAGTTTCCACCTTTCACAAAGCAATAGCCAGTAATAGCTGTGATGTCTGGACTCAAGAACTGCAAGTCAAACAGGTGCTCAGGCAATTTATGCCACCACTGCTGAAGTTGAGCACTTGAAGTAAGTCGGTGACAAGACTGGACCTAAGAATTACAGCTGAATTGCATTACGTCCTATAAAG